ATTATGATACAAACTGGCAATCACTTTGAAGCCAGATCTAAGCCGCCTCTCTGCGAGTTTTCTAATAAACAACATTTTCGCAAAGATGGCAACTGTGAAGTGATGCAGTATCACACAAACACACACACCCACACGCATATATATATATATATATATATATATATATATATATATATACAAATCTATAAACAAATCTAAACAGATAAATCTAAGTAAAGCCAGGAGTTAGTAGGATCGTCTATGGGTGAAAATTGCCATTGAAATAAAAAATGAATCATGCATCACGGCTGTGTTATCACAAACATGTCCTATTTGCTATACTAACTATGTTAGACAATATGGTACATGCAATCAACCTTAACAACGGAACATAGCTTCCAAATGCTTACTTAGCCCCATCTACAGGCCAGGACATAGCAGCTACCCCTTTGGTTTAGTCAAAAAAAAAAATTGCAAAATACTAACTGTTGGCTCTAAGGAAGTGTGGCTTGACCACGACCGGTCCAAAAAAAAAAACCCAAAGCAAATCTTCTCACTAAATAGATTTCCTCTGTCACTGCTGCCAAGACTAAACTGTTATTACAGCATCTTCAGTATAAAGTGTTAGGGGCTCAACCCTAAGCTCTTTTCATTTAGACCATATTGAGATTGTATAATGAAAAATCAATACTTTCAAAAAGACTAGGTCTTTCAGAAGGCTTAACCGTATTCACTTTAGAGCTATAGCTGCACGAGTCACTATGAAAAATGAGAAATAATATACTCCAATCAAAGACTGACTGGGTCTTTGACATCGACAAACAGTTGACTAGCTGAGGATGAAGAGGCACAAGTTAAAAATATTTCTATTGCGCAGTGCAGTGGAACATTTCCACATACTTCATATATGACTATACCTTTGAACTGAGACAGATAAAACTGTGAATCAGAGGTGTTTTTCAGAGCTCCTTCCCACTCCTGCACATACAGAAGCTGTGGAAAAACCAGATCAAGATCTGCCCCTGCCCCCTTGTCCCCGAACAGAGCTAAAGGGAGCAAAATGCCACTTCATACTCAACAATTTGGATTGTGCACTCCTTTTAAATTAGGGATCAAGTGAGGTTCGGCGAACGGAGTCAAGGAAATGTTTGGTATTCTGATTAACCCTGAGAAAGGTGTGACAGATGGCTGAGAATAAATGAAGAAAAAAGGGAGAGTGGAATGAAAAAAACAGCTCATGGTAAACATGTGAGTGAACTGCAATGTCAGGGGAGCAAAAGAGACTCCCCCCTCCTTTACCGCCGCTTTGTAGAATTCACTTATTCCCAAATCCCATCCACTACTTTCCTGATAACAACGAGGAATACGCCTAGGGAGCTTAACATAGAGGCAAAATCCAGGCAGGGAAGTGCAGGGCCGATACACTGCACAGCTTGGCTATATCTGCGGGGATTAGAGCACTCTCTGGGTCTCTTCATGGAGCGCGGCATCTAGCGATGACTTTAATTTGTTTCATTTGAAATAAACTGTCCAGACACTCAAAGTTCAATTTTATGGATGACCTATCACCAGTGTTTTCCAATCGCCAAGTTTTGTGTGTCTGTGTGTAGAGAAGTCTTTGTGTATGCCTCATTTTACTGGCTGAAAAAGCAAGTTTACATCAGCAGTCATCACCAGAACCATAGTCTTGTGATTTTTGTGGTTTCATGTCACATACCTGTGTGTGTTCTATCATTCTGAACTGTTGTCATGTTTAACACAGGTGACCAGCGGAGCACCACTGGAAATGAGTGCAACAGCTGTTCATGCCAAGGAAGGAGGCAGACAGTGTGATCATGTAAGCCAGAGATGTCATGTGTGCAGCAGTCACTTCCAGTGGAAAGGCTTGAAGGGATCATGAACGTAAACCTCAGCGTGTCATATCAGTTCCTCTGCTAAAACTGGATTGTTTTTCTTCCTGTTTGAGCAGACACTAAGCTAAGCGTGCACTTGGCACGACGGTACAGACGGCATGCCTTATCCTGAGGTGACGCGCCAATTCCAAACGGGCGGTTCACCAGTGTTTCTCAGTGACCGTCTTTTTCATGGATGTGCTTTCCTTCTGAGTGTGTCATTGTTCAGTCTCCAAAGGCAAAACTGTGTCCAGTGTCACCGGGAGTGGCGGTGATATTAACAGAGTGAGAGTCCCCGTCTGGGTGCCAGATATATACGCACCACATGATAGTGCCGGCTACAAATCGGAGTGTGCAAATTGCTTTCCAGTACATTACTGGGCATTTATTGGATGCATGGAAAAATGCATAGCTGGCTAATAGTGTTGTGAATAATCATCAAACCGAGGCATGTCAGCCTATTACCCATCTTATAACAGCATATTACAATAACAAGTTAAGACAAAGGGACAAACTGTGACTTCAAACTGTTCCCAAGAGGAGCTGCCCACTCAGAGCCCGGTGCAGTGCCAGGAAGACTAGTCAACACTTTGGTCCTGTGAAGCTTCTTTGTGTGGCAGCACCGTCGCACTGAGGCTCAGATGGCCGTGAAATTTTACTCTGCAGGAGTCTTAGTGGGAGTACACATAAAACAAACACAAAGTACTTCACACCATGGCACCCCACAGTCATTCTGGAACGGCTATTTGTTCATGGCTAGAATAGCCTGTAAGTTTCTTTTCCGTTTAGATCATATATGACAAACTTAAGGCCAGCGGCCCGAATACAGCTCACCACATCATTTTATGATTAATAATAATTAATAATAAATATTAATAATAACTAATTTCTGTAATTCCAGTTCTAATAATAGTCCACCACAGAGCAACAAGAATATGGTTGATGGTTATTGGTCGATACTGCTGTTTGCTTGATGGGTTCAAAGCAGTATTTAAATTATACAAATGTACAAAAATTAGTATTCACATTCTAATTTCTGTAATTCCAGTTCTAATAAAGCTTGCATTTACATACAATGAACTACGCATCCCATTATGCATCACCTGTGCATAATCTCGTGACACTGTTTTAAAATTGAGTTTGATTGAGTTGAAGACTCCTGGTTTAGATGATTAAAATTATTAAACAATTAAATAAACAAGTATTCACCTTATGATTAAATACATATTTTTACCTCTTTACTAGGCTCAAAAATTAACTTAGTATCTACCGTAAACTGTTAACTAATTCGTTAATTAACTGTCATTACGTGACCATTTATAACCACTGATAAGTTGTGTTAATAAATAAGTCTTAATTTCATTGTTACTTCAAATAAGTTGGGTCTCAAAAATATTGAAGGAGTGAGAAGGAGAGAAAAAAAATGAACAGTGAACATTTATATTCGTAAACCCTTTGTCACACATTTTGAAATGATTTCTGAACTGGCATTTTGTACAACTGCACCCAAAGCCCACCACAACAGAAGTTGTGGCTGTATATAACCCATACGTAAGAGCGACGATTTCTGCAGTTTTTCAAACTGTGCACCAGTGTGTAGAGGCCCTGGTAGAATAATGGAGGCCTGTGCCACGGAGAGACAAATTTGGCCAGTTCTCACTTTTGCCATCCACAATCCATTTAACACACAATACACCGCGAGGGCCTCTGTGCTGCTGGAGGGGAGCATGTATTGATGCCCTCTTAATGTTTTTTAAGCTGTGCCCCTCGTGAAAAATTGCAATTATGCAACAAATCCCAGAGCCTGGCGATCGGAGCCTAAGCCTTGGCAAAGTACTGTACAGTATTTGTGTGTTTTGTCGGACATCTGAAGGGAATTTCGTAATTGCTTGTTTGTTTCTGGCTTCAATTTTACACCTGACATCCCTGACAAATGTTGTATTTTTAAATAATCCCACTTGATAGAAAATATTTAAATGGATTTTCATGGTGGTGTGTAAAAGTAGCTGAATGGTGCTCCTTGTGTGTTCAGAGCCTGAGGTGAGTAAGCCCGGATAGATTCAGTTCATATACTGGTACACAGTACTGTTTATTGCAGTTGCAATGTTGTACTGCAGAAAACATCTGAGATGCTGCAGCACAGGAGGGAGGTAAACACTGACTCACCCTGGCGCTTTGTCCAGCTATAAGCTGGTCGTCTTCAGTCTGGACACTAGTCCTGCTGCGAGTGTCATAGTCCTCCTGTTCAAAGTCAGAGTCGTCCTCCAGCTCCTCTGGTGTCTGGGAGAATCACAAAGCAGGCATTCAGTCATGAGAAGAGTAATGACAACAATAAAGAGAAAAAGAGAACAGTTTTTTAATGTCTACGTCCCGCTGTGCAGAGAATCTCGGGAACAGATATGCTCGCCTTTGGTGTCATTTTCAGTTTATAGTGGCTCACTAGGAGTTGGGAGTTGAAACTCTGACAGAGACCAGTCAAATGTCACAGTGTGTTCTGTCTCTGAAATGTGACAGTTGGTGTATGCTCCCTCAACAGTAGATCAAACGCACAATAACAACAAAGGGGAATACCAAAAACAAGATGGATTTGTTGGTCTGTCAAGGTGTGGATTTCCTCCTTTTAGCAAAGAATGGGTTTAATTGAAAAAACACAGAGTAACACTTCAGAAAAGTGATTGTGGAATTTTCTGACAGCAAAAAACAAGATGACGATTAACTGTAATACAAACAGAACATCAAGATTTGAAAATTAATCTGGTTTAAATAATTATCTGAGGTACACTGGCATTAGGAGTTGACATTGATGTGCACAATTACAATATTATAAACATGATAAAAATGATCTTAAGGTCTTCAAGGTCATCAAATTTACCAGGACACTTTGTTTACAGCATTAAAGTGACATTAATTTGACCATTTGGGCCTAGGTTCTGGATCGGACAGGCTATAGGTATTTTATTTTATTTTTTTCAATGTTCGATCTCAAACTTTTGACAAATATTAGACAAGTACTGGATTGAGCCAAACCCACTACATGTGACATCTCTGCTTCGTTTCCATTAGCGGCTAAGCTATGCTGGAGCCACATCAGAGATTGAGAGTGGAGTTAACCATAGATTCTAAGGTTCTCTGTTACGTGCTGACATGTCAGGAAGCAGGCGGGAGCAAAACGCAGTCTCTTTAGGTGCAGCAAGTTTATTTATAAAGTGCAAACACACACAAACTTACTGCTGTTCTACTGGACATCAAAGGGCAAGAACACCAACGGTCATGAACTACAAACATGAAGCACAGACACAGAACACACAGAACAGCACCAAATAACCTGAACACAACAGAACAACAACTGAGTGAGGGAGAGAGGTACATAAACACACCCAGGCCACCAGGTGACATGAGTGAGATCAACGTCAGAGACACAGGTAAGTGTGATCACACTGATTACCACCCAGCAAACACAGCAGGTAAAAGGAAACAGACACACCTATCTCTAGGTGATGTGAGAAGCTGCCTTGTTGACTTCCTAAGGCATGTTAATGCAGGGTGGGTTTACCCAGGAGGGTACGGTGTGTCAATGGGTTTCTATATCTGGGAGCAAAACTTTTTGTTAGACTGTTAAGTTAAAAAGATGACATTATCTTCAAAGCAACTTTACCATCAATCCAAGTCAGCTGCACTGACACTAAACAAAATGTGCTTGTTTTTCTATATCTTTACTGCAAAAGCACTCCCTTAAGGAGTTCACATCCTAAACACGGCGACCTTATCTACAAAAATTATTGCAGGAATAATTTACATAATTTGTTTGTAAATAAGAAGACAACACAGCACATTTAAATAAATCCAATTTCACTGTGATGATATTCCTCTCAAACTTTTATTAAATCCTGATTTTCTTTCTTTCTGTTATAAGTTCATTAAATCTCCTCATTAAACTGAACATTTGCCGGTTCAGAATTACGATGCCTTGAGAATCCATTGCAACTTCTTCCTGTCCATAAACTCATTTAGCTTTTCAGCAGCCCAGGATGCTTCATTGGTTTTCTATGTTCCAAATAGCACAGTCAGTAGCTGTAGAGAGGAATATTTCTCTGGACTTATTGATAGTGTACGCAGCCTCGTTTAATAACAATCCATTCAAAAGTAACTATTTCTCGGACAAACACACCATTAGAAAGAGCTCTGTATGAGCGCCGGGAGAAATGTTTTCTTTCTATGGTAATTACGTTGCGATAGCAAACCCCGAGGAACAGACACTGCTTTTTGAGTATTGTTAAGTGCAATTTGTAATAACTCGCTCAATACGAGTGTAAGATGCTCTTGTAAGATTATTGCAGTATATTCTAACCAACGTATTTGCCACCCGTGCTATGTTCCAAATAAGTGCAGTACAATGGTGTTTTTTACCTTTATGACCTAATTGTACCCTTGGACACCTGAGTGGGTTGGCTTTGGACTGAGGCTGACTTGTTTTTTTATGTAAGAAATCAACCAGGAAAGTGTTTCAAGGACGGAAGAACAAACAATCATACAGTGAACCAAGCCACAGTGAAACACTATACAGATAAACAGAGTGAGCTGTGATTGGTCTAACCTAGGAAGAACATAAGGAGCCTCTTGGTTCGAATCCCACCTTGGCTGTATTGCTATGTTGAGCACCAAATGCCTTGCGCCCAGATGCTGCAGAAACTGCCCACTGCTGCCCAGAAATGGGGTTACACGCAGATGACAAATGTTGTATTTAATTATTTGCATATGGACAATAAAGGCTGATGAAACTTCTTCTTTGCTGCTGTGGACACAGCTGAGTCTTTTTTTAATAAGTGAGATAGAGATTCAATCAGAGGACCTTAGCAGCTGAGCCGGTCTGATCTAAACTTGGCACAGATATTGATTTATAAATGAAATTCATTTCTTGCGAAGGACATTACTGGATGACATACTTAATTCCAAACAGTGTGTGCTGACATACAAATGAGTGGAGGTCAAACACAGGGCAATAAGAACTAAAAAAACATGCACATGCATCACAAAGCTGTCCAATCAGATTTTAACTTTGTCCTCAAAGCTGATTTCTGCTGTCTGACATTCGTGGGAATCGTTGCTGCGTCAACATCAACTGCATATTTGGCTACAAAGACCTCACAGGAGTGTCTTTCAAATTAGGATCAGTGGCTTAACAAGTTTCCTTCCACCTAGAATGGTTGATTTCTGCAGCTTCAGCTCTAACTGGGCTGCCATCACCATGGCAACTGCACGGATGGTTACCCTGCTGCAGAGCAGAGGATGGATCAAAACATGTACAGGTGTAAAGTCATCATTACTACAACTTTTGAGCTGACGTTTTATTACCTCAATGTGATCCAGTTGTACTTTTAATCAGCACTGGAAGGTATTTTATCCACATACCATTTAATCACAATGATTAAATTAAATGTACGTGGGTCACTGGGATGAACTTCAACCACACACCCAGTACATGTTGATGGCAGGTCCTGGCCGAGTGTAGTAATGAAGTCAATGTGCTGGGTAGAGTTGTGCTGAATCTATTATCTGCCCTGTAATGTATCACCACGGAGCTTTACAAGAACCAGAGGTGTCGTAACGTTGGGCGGTGGTGACCTGCAGGGAACATTTACAGTGAATATTAAGCCTGCGATCTTGACAAGGACACGTGATAATTTACTAAGCAATCATTTATCCGCAAAGGTACAGTAAATTTTGCAAGATATCTAGTTTTTCTCAAATAGACCTTAACGGACACACGCTTGCACGTTCATATTTACAAAACAGAGCCAAATCTAGTGTCGTTGGTGTCAAAGTAGGGGGCATGGACCCCTGAGAAAATTGGAGTGAAGAAAAAAAAAACTTTTTTTTTTTTTTACCATAAACATACGTAAACTACCATAATGGCAGGAGGTTAATGCTGTGTGGGAACTCTGGACTAGTGCACAGAGCTTCTTCTTTAAAAGAGCTCTTCTGATTTAAACCAGGAGGAAACACAGACATGTATCACACACTCTTTTACATGTACTGTAAGAGTTTCACCCAATGTGATGATTTGGTTCTTGAACATTCAAAACAGGTTATTACAGAGCTTAAGTGAAAAGAGAGAAAACAAAATGCTGCATGAAATGTACTCACACTGAAAGAATAAGGTACTTTTCTGTTCTTTGTATTCAAGTGGCATCATCAGAGACCAGAAACAGGGGGGGAATTCAAATGATTTGCTTAGAAAGTACAAGTGCACTGGGGGGTGATTGTGAAACCAGTTGGTTCTGGTTAGCTCGTGGCTCACAACGAGACATTATGTTTTGTCTAGACCTTTAAACCTGCAAGACTGGAATACTACAGAGGCACTGTAGAATACTACACAGATGCTGTTCATGACAGTGTACTGTAGATGTTGCACTGTAATGAATAGTAATTGGAGGCACCAGAGCTACAGGCATGTGCTACTATGCAGCATTTTTGTCGTATCATTCAGTAAAATGTCCTGCCCTAATGGGATTGTAGTTTCCTTCGACTAAGGCCGAATGTATTTCTGTATGAAAATAGCTTCTGTCATCAATTACTGCCAGCCGTAACACGGTCACTTTGCCAATAATGTACCGGGAAGACGTTACTGGAAGTAATCTGTTCACATGACAAATTTATCTCATCACTCATGGTGATTAATGTAATTACTTCTTACATTTTACACCCGTGTAATGTAAAACACATCAATTTTCTGATGACAAAGATGTTTTAAGGCTGAATAACACAGAACTGACATTGACCCAAAACCACCTGCGTCTGTTTTTGTAATGTTTATCATGTCATTTTTTATTCATTCATTGCTTCTCAATTATTGCTCCTGCCTAAGCAGATGGGCAAAAAATAAATAAAAATAACCGAGCTAAAATCTGCTACTTATTCACACCGGTAACAATTGTAATGGTTGTCAGATTAAAACGTCACAGCGGTTCCACAATGACTCGACATCTGCTCATTGAAAAGAGACACGAAAGAACTCTCGTACCCGTATCATGAGGACGGCTTTCCTAATGTCACGGACGCCATCATACACCAGACGGGATGCATCGATGAACTCATTCTCCTCAAACGCCTGTGGGGGGTTGGTACTCAATGCCTCAATTGCCACCTCCACTTGTTCAGCAAAGCGGGGCATAACTGTAGGGACGAATAGGTAAGACAGGGAGAGAGGAGAAAATGAGAGACACACACAGGTAAGACAGGATTATTACAGAAATTTCATTAAATTGAATTGTGTCTATGCCAACGAGGAGGTCTGTTTCTCGTCAAGGACACGATCAGAACCTTGTCATTGGAATTGGACACTTGCATTAACCTCCTGCCTCCCTTAGACTCCATATCACTGATATCATGCTGTTCCAAAAATTGACTGTGATCACTTTTTTTCACCTTGGTTTATCCAATAGGTTGACTGTTGCTGCATGTGTGTGTGTGTGTGTGTGTGTGTGTGTAAGAAGGTTGCTGAATGTGCGTCAGCGTTGTAGTATAAGGACATCCACTTGCTAGCTCAGTCCCTCAGCTCACACTGGGTGTTGAGGAAAAGCAGCTTCATTTGAGTCTTTTTAGATGAACACACAGTGTGTGAACAAAGGAAACCCTTGAGAAACGGAAGGTTTTGTTGTCAAATTTCAAACATTCCGTCTTTTTTGTACATAAGTGAATTGTGCCGAAAGCCACTTGAAGTCATTCAATAGTCCAGCACAAGCTATATTTCCATTATTATCCCCATCTGAGGCACACCAAATAAATACAGAAGAATAATCAAGCATTAATTCAACTTCTTTGCTACAGGAAAAAAAATCAAAAAAAAAAAATCTAAAAGGCTTTGACAGAGGCTTTCAAATGTAATTTTAATATTTTCCCCCAAAGGGAATAGTTATCAAAACGCTCATTGGTCTTATGGTTACTAATTCTCAACAGGAAGTGAAAGGTTTCAGCTAAGCCCAAGATACGTAGACAAAGAAAACAAAAGCGGAGTCAAACACATGTAAAACATGGGCTATACATTACACCACACATAAAAGCAGAGCTAAAAGCCTCGGTCGTTTTCTTTTCATTTTTAATGCAGTTTAATCCACTTACTGGTAGATTGTAGAAGGCGCTTTGGGAATTGATTTAAACAGAAATATTTAAATGTTCTCTAAGCTCCTAACGAGCAAATTTGCTGATGGTAAAGCGGGTGAGGTGGGGGTGGGATCTTACTCTTTCCACTTGAGAAATTATGTAGAGAATTAAATCTGAGGTGTAGGATTTGTTTTTCCTTTGATGGCATATACTTCAAGTATTAAATGTGTAGTCCTTTATTATTTTAATAATCATTAGTAATAATTGTCATTTAATGCATCTTTCGAAAATGTCAAAAACAATGATATGTTTCATATAGTCTTCAATAAGTTGGTCAAAAAGAAAAATACTGCAGTTAATATACAAATACCACTTTCATCCACTTGTATTGACAAAAAACTATGTTTCAACCTGCTGTACACTCTTGGATTTGTTTAGATGCAACACTTATTTGTACTGCACTGCGTCTCTCCAAGTTAGTTCCTTGAAAGCAGGGCCGGCTGTAAAGATGCAAATCTATATTGTACATTACCCTGTGTAGTAAAAGAAAGTTAAGAAATTCAGCAACATGGACTTTATTATGAGATAATTAAATGCTTTTCAGGCTCCTGTTGACCACACAAGCTCCTGCTGGTAGATCACGGGCAATTCAAATAAAAACAACTATAATATAAATGTAATTTTATAGAAGTGACCATATAATGTAAGAATAGAATTCATACTGTCCCATACAGCTGCATACAATTAATCACTACCCAACATACAGTATAAGGTATATATTTAAATCATGCTCAGTTGATATGAATAACTATATATTTGATGTTTTTAATGTCGGTAGATCACGTTAGCCTGGTTAGTTGACTAGTAGCTCCCAAGCCAAAAAAGTGTAGGCGCTCCTGTCTTTGAGTCTTTTAAATTACTCTCATCTCAATGTACAATTAACATTGGTGTTCCTGGGAAAATAAGAAGAAATATTTATAAATATAAAAATATAAATATTTATTTTCCCAGGAACACAATGGGTCTTTCACAAGGACAATGCCAGGTCATGCCTTAATAAATAATCTTGGCATAAAATTAAGATGAGAATCAGACAAAAACAGTGGAGACAAAAACAGTGCACACACACACACACATGTGGCTAAATTCATGGGGATATTATATTGTTAAAATCATATAAGATAAGGTTTAATTAGTCTGTGTTAAACAAACATAATCAACATTATCATTCAAAGTCAGACACGTGGCTAAGAAGCCTCACATAAATCTCAGATTTATGGAAAAGCCGTGCGAGTAGCATTGTGAGAGTACGTGTAACTGCTCACTGCAAAACCCTGTCTGAGTTTTATTTACTGTGTGGGAATTTATTGTACTGTGAGGCGATGTGCTCCACTCTTCTAAATGGCACACCGACATACACCATATATCATTTTTTTAATCTGCACCGTAATGTTCGACTTCAAAATTTGTCCATTCTGAGAAAGAGATTAGTTTAAACGCAGAGAGTGAGTTAGCAGAAAAAGCGTCTCAGGGAAGAGGGAGGAGGAAAAGGGGAGGGAGAGGCCATAACCACTTTCCCATTAGGCTATTGATTTCTGTGCTCTCAAGGACATGCTTCAATCTGAGGCCCATGCGTGGACTCTGACAGGTATCTATGACTCACCTTAACACAGAAGACTTCTGTTCCTCGCCCGCCTGCATTTGGCCCGGCTATAAATTTGACCAGACTCAATATGGGAAAGAGGGATGAGCAAATTAAGGCGAGGTCAAAGGTCAGGAGTCTGTGATAAGTGTCTGTTGTTGATGTGGGAGCAGCAGGGAACGCAGGCAAGTGGCTGTGATTGGCATGGGTGGCCGTGGGCATAAACACAGCTGCAGTTAAATAAAAACAAAAACAGCCGGTGCAATGAATAGAAAAGGTGCACACACACACACACACACACAAACACACACACACCCTGTATGAGAGAGACAGGCTGTGAATAAGTGTTTTACACATGTAACCATTGGAAAAAGGAAAAACAAGGAGACAGTATGAACACATTTCTCTAAAATCCCCTCTCAAAACACTAAGTGAAATGCCTGGTGACAGCTATTGATTTCTTTGCGAGAACCTCGTTAATTGGCCGCCGTAGCGTCTAAAAAAGTGTGTGGTCCAATATTCTTTCCTTCTGTTCAGCTACACTTAATCATCTTTTCCCCCAGCTACACATTTCTCCTTGACTGTGCCGAAATATATAGACATCACGTCTGTGAGGACTGAGGGGAGACGGAGGCAAGAGTTCACAGGGATCAATAAGTGCTTTATGGTCCAGATCAGATGTGCATGGTAGCCCTTAAAAACCCTAACTACTACCAAGAGGAATACAAGAGGGAGAAACAAAACAACTCTTCATCAAAGAGAAATATGGGCGAATCACACGCTGCTCTAACAATATTTAGCACTTTCCCGCCTCAACATCTCACTTAGCAGCAACATTTGAGTGGACATGAGGTCTTATTAAAGTTTAATGTCCGATTTCTCCTCCAGGCCATGCAGCTATCCTGCCTCGCCCATTTGCTGCATGTGAACAGACTGTATAGCTGTAGCCCTGAGCTTAAGGTTAAGCAAGACAGGATGCTGGCGTTCTTAAAATTGACTCCTGGTGGGCATTCATCGTCTTGTCAGTTTAATGCTAGGTTTACTGCTTAAGTAGGCTACAGACCTACTGCAGCTATTTATCTGTGCAGACAATCCTGTGTTTGGCTCTACGGCAAACATGAGACGCTGCAGCACCGACGAGTTTCACCTGAGAATTGTAGAAGCTGTGAATTTACGATAAATGTTGGGTTTTTTTTTGAGAGGTAAGTAGGAAGATAGAAACAGAGAGAGAGACACACACACACAGAGAGAGAGAGAGAGAGAGAGAGAGAGAAAGAGAAAGCGAGAGAGAGATGAATGGTGATTGCTCTTGCTCAGCATTTAAGATAAGCAAAAAATCAAATCCCAAGGTTCTATGAAAGATGTTACATCTCCAAGGGATTTTTTTTATTTTTATTTTTCTGACTAAAACAAGGGATTTCAAGTCTACCATGCAGACCACTCACCAAGGAGAAAAAAACGACCATCCCCTGGGAGGAGTCGAAAAGTCAAAACTGTTTTTTTTTTTTTTTTTTGCAGTTTCTCATACGTGATGTCATAAATGACTCATCGTATGGACTGACTTTATTATCAGATAGGTGGGCGTGAAAAAAAATCACAAGTCTTCAGTCCCTTATTGCACATCTTTACACGTGCACAGACTTTTCAAAGGGCCGTTAACATTGTAGGATTTTTTTTCTGAGTTTCAACCTGCAGAAAAAAAAACAAATTAAATTCCATTCTTCTATGAAAACAGATGGAAAATTGATGACCAGCACCATTTCAGGAAGACCCAGTCTTTAAATAACCTGCTGATCATGTCTTCACTTTCTTACAGCGGTTGAGTCATTCTCCTTTCTCACTGTACCTGAGGAAGCCTAACCTTCGTGCTTCTGAACCAAAACATGTGAAGACAAAACCCTCAGGAATCTCCACCGGGTTTGACAGGTTTCATCATGATATCTTCATCATGTGTTGGACTGTGTTATGTTTCATTTGATCTGGTTTTAAATCCTAAAAAGTGAACCATTTGGAAGTCAAGAAAATATCAAACCGTTAACCAAACGTGAATGAATTGTATTTAAAATACTGAAGCCGTGCTGCTCCACACCATTTCTTTTTTTTTTTTTTACTTTTCTTTAAAACTAAAAGAACATTTGAAAGAGACTCTATTCCAGTCTTTAAATGAGGTAGTCAGACAGGTTTTTGAATTCTGGGTGATGTGCTGTAGACATCACCCAGAATTCTCTAAAGACCAAATTCTATGATGTAGAACCATCATCTGAAGAGGAGTCTAGACTTAAACGAAGGATATGTGGAGGAATAACCTTGTGTTCTTTTACAGCTTTCCTTTGCACATTTTGACTTCTTGTTCTTCTTCTACATCACTGTACCTACTGTTTGTAGGTAAAGAAATATTTCCACCAAAGACAAGCAGCAATTGATTCGGTTCTTTCACCTCTTTTTTTTTTCTTTAGCACCGTTGACATTATCTTTCTATGCTGCTCTAGAAACAAGCTCCGTTCTCCACGGGGAATTAAAAGAACAGTAGCACAATTACATATTCCCAGCATGTGATAAGGTCATGGTCATACAAAATTGACCTTAGGATTTCACAAGATATCGCCACTGTACTTCATCAATTAATTACCCCAATCAATTAGGCTGACTTATGCAATAATAGAAGGGAATGTGCTTAAGATATCATGTAACAGCTACTATGGAAGTCTATTAGGGTTGAGAGGAGTGCCAGAAGAGGGGGGTGAGACAGATGGCTGTGTGAACACACACACGTGACTCACCCAGTGCTGTTTGTGGCTTTTTACCTATCAGGCAAAGAAGCTGATTGTGGTTCTCTCACTTGTCCTGGCACATGAACGTGAAGAGCTAAACAGACAAATATACATCCTCTAATGGGAGAAACACAAATGTGTTCTGTAGAGTAAGAATGTGTTGTTATTCAATGTCACGCAAGACAAAATAACTCATTAAAAAATAACACACTGCACCAATCCCTCTCCCTAATTTCTGGCACACACAGATGCAGTGGAAGATGAGATCACATTTCTCTGCTAGCTGGGTGGAATTTTTTTTTTCATTTTTAATAAGAGTATGATACACCAGAGCCAAGACTATGGCTAGTACAGGTGAATAGTTGTAGGTACCATGAAAGACCACCAGGTGAACTGTGGATAATGATCCAGTTTCACTTCCTTAGAACAGAAAACTATCTAATCCGTATTAGGCAAAAAGAAGAAATATACAGATTCATTTTAGAAGTTTATGTCTTTTCATAATTCGTTAGTCAACAGAGAATTAATTTGAATTGATGATGATGTCAATTATTTCTATGGAAAATGGTCTTAAATAAAAACTAAATATTTCATAGTTTTTTTGTTTTTGAATCCTGTTGAAACATTATTTTTTTGTGTTTAATGTATTCACCAAGAATGTAGTGGATCATTTCAAGTTTCAAGCAATAAAAAAAAAATTCAAAAACTAAGATAAAAGTAAATGTACTGTAGCAGAGAACGGGCAAGTATTTAAGGCAGTATCTGTTAGTCAGCCGTAAGACTGAGAAGATTATGTTTATGTTTGTGTGTGTTTGTGAGAAAGAGAGAGAGAGGGAGAGAGAGAGAGGGAGAAAGGGAGAGAGAGGGAGAGACACAATTGCTCAGGACAGTAACCCCACTTGCCAAAAACCATGTAACACAGTGTTTGATGCAGGCTCAGCCCACTGTGGAAGCTACTGTGTAAATCAATTTGGTGAGACGCAATGCAATTAAAGTGGAGCTCCTTGTGCCACACCCGCTTTGTATACAGTACAGTGCACTCACCGGTCTCAGACAGAAGCTTGATTGACTCCAACACACGTTCCGTGTAGACGCCTGGTTCATAGTTTTCCATCTCAGCGTTAATGATGTGAACCACGCGAGCGGCTCGTCCCCGGATGGCTCCAGCAGTACGGTCGAGAGTGTCCACGTCTCCCTCTTGGAGAGCAATTACACATTTGTTGACGTCCTCAAGGATGTGGTTCTCTAGAGACAGAAAAAAAACAATGGTAGTAAATGCAGCGGCATAATTATAATAATAATGATTAATAGAACGTGTTCCTCCGTGGAGGTCAATTGATTTTTGCATAATTGTAATTTACATTGAAACCATTTGTTCAAAGCAGACGTCGTACAGTTCGTACACCTTGGTCTGAGTCAACTGATGAATCATGTTATTGTGCGTCAAACATGGTTGAAATCTCGTACCTGACACAGAAAGGAAATCATCGACCGAGGTGATGTCATCCACCGCCTCGGTCAGAATGCGAACCTGCTTCTCCCACTGATCCTTGAAAACATCCATGTTGTCCTGGGCTACTTTGCTTTGGGGCCGTGCAGCCAGAGTGAGCGCGGCGTTGATAACCTGTTACGTGAGATGATATTTATCAGGGTTTTGATTTAGGAGTCAAATTACAGGGTGTATTTTTTACTAGGATATTTGTTTAAGGAAACCATCTTTTTCTTAAGAGATTGAAATAAACAGAAGGACATAAAGTGAACAAAAGAAAGTATTTTTTACTTTGAAGGGTTTACAGCCAGGAAGTTGTCACAGAAGAATGAGGTTCAACGGCGTATAACAACATTGGCTTTTATGTCTGCACAATAAATTCTTATTTGGTTTTGGTCTTTCCAAGAAACAGTGAGTGTCAGAGAGTAACAGATGGCAATTTGTCATTTTGATTGGTTGCCAGGCTTCAAGAGGGTCGTTCTTATCTGATATGAGCCTGTCAGAGGGCAGACGACTGGTGACGGGCGGAAACTATACATACAACATACCACAGTGCGGCGAGGCACGTAAACATCTGTTAGAGCCATTTATTACTCTTATATGTTTTTTAGGAACTACTTAGACCTACTTAGATCATTAAAGAATGATCTTTTTTTTTGAGATTCAACAGTGAAAATGCCTAACGCTCACTGTTTAGTGAATATACTACAAAAACAAAAATTCTAATAAAGTATTTAATTAGGATAAAAATAATAGGGAGGACAGAAAGTGTCATGAAAAAGGTTACCTTACCAAACTCGAAAGATCAAATCTAAGGTGTCAACATTATTAAATGGTCTCTGAGAAACCATCATAACCCAAACACTAACATGTTTTCATAGAAGCTCTCTTGTTTGTCAGATCCTTAACACGCTGCGTTAACTGTATTACCGTAACAGCTGTTATTTGAACTTAATCATAACTTTCTTTATTTAGAGTCATGTCCTGTCTTAGTAGATGTTGTCATACTGTAGCACCATCTGGTAAATCAAACACAGCATCAGGTTGTGTCACATTGAGACTATTCTTGTGTCTCAACATTTACAGTTATAAAACTGCAGTTTTATTCCATCTGGAGAGATATAAAACAAATCCTTCTGTTTTAAACTGCCTTTTTGTCTGGTTTATTTATTCTTGAAAAATCAGGAGGAAAGTATTTGGCCAACAAGGCACTAAATCCAGAGTAATTCTTAAAGTGTGTTTCTTGTTTGCAGCTGTAATCATTCCCACTTGGAAGATTTTGGAACGCCACTGGTAATTTGACCCAAAGGAACATTTATACGGTGATAGGATGATACAGTAGATAAAGCTAGACATCTCTGTTAACCTGAAAGGTTGTTTGGTTGTTTTGTTGGCTAGAATCTGTGGAACAAGTTATTTGGGAATAGAACCACCCAACCCTGATTTTAAGGATGTTGCTGAAATCCCTCGGATCCAGTTGTGCTTTAAAAGAAATGACCCTTCCTTAATTGTTTCCTTTAAGATCACACTTTGCAGTAAACTGGACTCTGGTTTGTTGACAGTTAAATTAGGTGTAAAGATTTCTTTTTACTGGAAAACCATGGCCAATGTGACTTTGAAGAATGGTGTTACCTAAAAAATCATCCCTGTACCATGAAACTTTACAGAAGACAGTTAAATAAAAATTAAGTTTAAGTTAAGTTTAAATAAAGGTCAATGTTGTGCTGTATGTCAGACTTGCAGCTGCTACGGCATGAAAAAAACCCTACGTTTTTAAGCACAGTTGTTTTTGTGCTTACGCTAATGCTAGAGGCGCTTTAAAAACTGCAGCTTGTGTCAGCAGAGGGTTTGCAAATGTTGGTTATTATGCGTCTCAGCAATCAGCGATCAGCTACGGTGGTTCCACTTTGCACTAATAGCACAGTTGATTGTGAAGTGTCCTGCAGGGAAGCATTCTAACAAACTGCTTTGATTCAACCGCAGCCAACCGCACTCTGTGGCAGGCTTGCACTCAACTCTGACCCCTTTGGAAGAACAGTTTCTACTACCGTTGTTTGTGATTTCAAATGACTTTTCCCCTTCGTCAGTTCTTTAGCTCAACAAATCATTGAATACAGACTGTCTTTAAGGTCTCACCTGGGGGCATAAACTGTCGATCTGTGTGGCAGCCATACGGACCAACTTCACGCCCTCTTCGTTGTTGGAGATGGAGCACGCCAAATTGGCCACCTGCACGAGGTGACAATGAGAGGAGAGTGTTAAAACACAAAGGTGATGCTTTTTATGATTTAACCAAAAGGTGTGAAATACATATTAATATATACTGATATTAAATTGTTTCCTCTTTTTTCTTTAACTGTTTCAAACATTAAATATTGAATATAAATATATGAAATATATGAATAAAGTGTTTGTACACAATTTAAAATATATTAATTAAATGCTAATTTAAATATAAATTATAATGTATAAATACTATGTATATTTATAAATATATTCATATATATATATATATATATTTATATATATATTTAAAATATATACAAAATATATAAGATGATATAGGGTATAAATATTTAAGGTTTCAACAAATATATACCTTACATTATTTATAACTGTAAAGTTTATTTCAATGAGTTTTCGGTTTCACTTTCCCAGATTCTACTGTGTACAATTACAAGCAGAGTTTTGCAAAGGGACCTAGAGAGGCTGAGACTGGCTCCGGGTTACTGCTCCACCACCTGTCTCTGCCGTCCCCATAAGATGCCTAATCTTCTGCCGCTGTGCCAAAGCCACAGCCACAGCCAAAAACATACCACAAGGACAATATACCTGCAGTTCACAAAGAACACTTTGTCCACTTTTAACAGCTCCAATCCATCTAAAATGTATTATTGCCGCGCCAAAGGCTAAAGGTAAAGTTTTCTGACTACATTTAAATGTGCTGTGTGCAGACTCAAATGGAAAAGCCACAGCAATATATCCATTCCAGTTCACTCGTAGCCCTTACATGACATATTGGTTTTGTGTGTTCCACAGATAAGGAATGGAGGGAATGTTCTTCTATTGTTTAAGACCTTGAATGTTGTAAATGGATGTCACACAGCGGAGGCTCATATCAGAGGGTGGAGCACAGCTCACAGTTGCAGCAAAAAAGTAAATTGATTATTTCTCCATAAAAATAAACAGCCCAACACAATTCTGTATTAAACATAAAGATACATTTATCAGGATGTGCTTCCGAGCACGGCTGCTGTGGCAGCTGCAGATTTCAGCTTTACTGCATGTATAAAAAAAGTCATTTTTATATCTGAAATAACAAGAAGCTTTGATTTACACCTGTCCTTGCATCAGTGTAACTTTCCCTGACGGCACACGCAGCTCATTTCCTGGTTGACGTTCTCACTTACCAATTATAATGCTTTATGACAACAGTATTCAATATATCGTAGATGCTATTACAACTGCGGGTCCTGAAATTCTTTAAAAAAAATATCCTGAGCGTCACCAATGATATAAGTGTAGAGACGAACACAGAAGATGGCGGGGAGAGAGTGGATAAGACAGTGAGATAGAGTGGGAGAGAGACAATTGAATAGCTGTGACAAATATAAATCACTTCTTTACTCATTATCCTAATTTAAACATTCTAATTACCAATCCCAGCCTTTACCCTCAAAAAGTGATCTTAGCCTGAGTAAATGTCCTCACAACAGGGGTTTCGTCACACGCACACATAAACACACACACACACAGCCTCACGTAGGGAACTGCAATCCATCACCGTGCCTATTGCTGTCATGAGTAAAGAGACAGGGCTCTAAGCAAGAGTCCTCTAAAACAAATTTGATTTACTTCAATTTGCCTCAAACAATGACGTGTGAGCAGTGGAAGTGCTAATACAGACTGGCACTACTTTCTGTCAGGCAAGTGCCGCTTTGGTTCAGTTTCAAAGGCCGGACCGATACTGAAATCCGTTTAATCCAGTGGTGCCATCAGGTCACGTTAGCTCGGATGCTACTGTATCAAAATGAACTGTAGAAAAAAAAAAGAGTGTGAGTGAATTATAAAAAATGTGCGTTGTTTGCAGGTACACTATGTCTGTGTATGTGGTGGAGAAACTGAGGTGTTCCATACTGACAAGAGAAGCTGCTCAAAACACATCTGTCTGTGGGTAACAAGCACTGTATTAAAATTCCAGTATGGTTATCTTCACTGCAGGGTGGCCACAACTTTTTAATGACTTTGGAGCTTTTATAATTAACTGATCAGGCGATACTGATCTACCTAGAAGATAATTTAATTGTTATTCTTATAAACCATCTGACATCATGACGCTGATATAACAGTGTTACTTTTATTCCTCAAGTTACAAATCTATGTTGGGTTCATGCATCTTCTATTTAGATCCAATGCGGTATTGTTCTCACAAAGTAAGTCTCTCCTCAGTCTCTTCACTGACAGTGTTGTCTTTATACAGTTCTTCTGCTCTGGCCCTCCGAGGCCTTCTGATGGCTGCAGTGAGTGAAGGCTGTAGAGCAGCCAACCCTCAAGGATCACGCTCACTGCTTAGTCCCTAACAAAGGGAGATCTGGGCGAGAGCCAGTGCAGCAACACACAAATGAAACTGCTGTCAATGCCTGCCCAACATTTTTTTTTTCACACAAAAACAAAAGTTACATTAACAAAGGTGAAAGGTCTTAGGGGAATGCATGGTATTTCTCGAAGACAGAGAACAGCCTGGCTCAATGCTTGATTATAGCCACAAACTAAGAACTATTGATTTTGCTTTTTTTGTGTTTTTTTTGTTTGTTTGTTTGTTTATTTCTATTCTATTCTATTCATTAACTCTCAAGTTGGATATTGTATAATATATACAGTACATATTGTATATTTATAACTGACCTTACATCAGTGTAGGCCAATGTATGTGTTGTGCAGTCTATTTCACTTTTGTTGTGGTTAGTGTAGCAAACAACATTAGCTTAATGTTGTATAGCCTGTTGGATTTCGTCATTATAGAATATGGACTCTTCATCTAAATGCGAACGCAGCGGAAGGAGAACTTAACTTTAGTTTATTCAGTCCACTGCTTTGAGTAATAGAATTACCTCCACCATGAAAATGCAAAACAGACTATCAAGGAATGCATGGCTCAACACAGGAGACGGAACTGACTTCAAGACACACCTTTCTTTCTTTTACATTTACAGGAAATAGTGTAGGCTGTTACTGTAAGTTGGATAGAAATGATCGATAAAACCAAAGAAAAACTTGAAAAACAGTCTTTAATCTTGAAAGACTGGAGTTCCATGTTAGTTTGCAGTGAGAAGAGAACTCAGGTTCTGCTCCATTAGGGTCGGGTTTTGTACTCCATAAGAACTACAAGGAGCAGCTCCAGCGCTAGAAATGGTTTTAAGTGAGTAACAAGTGCAAGCACACACAGGTGCACACATACACACACACACACACACCTGCATTCACGGTAAATAAATAATAAATCAGTAAATAAATCAGTCTGTCAACATAGATGGAGCAGAACACGTAACAGGGGAATACATTATGCACACTGTGAAACAATTACAGTTCTGCCCTCACCGGAGCGCCTCTATTTGTTTTAGTCATGACCTGTCAGCTCCCAGCGGTGACGCCTGCACATGCAATGTATGGTGTGAAAATGACAGCAACAGGTGAGGGTGCATGACATTAGGTAACAGCAACTGTCAAGGTTGTGCGAGGTTTAAGTCTCCAGAGGATATCAAGGCTGAGAACCTGCTGAGATTGACCGTGTTCCACACCTCTGAAAATCAAACCTTATTAGGAACGGTTCGGGAACTACGCCCCCTGGGTGGGAAACATCCAAAGACATGCTGCACATACAACATAAGGCTTTTAAATAACAAAAAGGTGACTTTATTTGATTTTTTTTTTCAACTCATCTGTTTGTAGAGTCTGTTTTTGGGTCAATCCAACTGTTACTGTTAAATTAGACACTAAAATCATGTAGTGACACAAGTGAATTTAACGCTTTTTTTTTTTTTTGTCACTTGATCACAGATTGATTTTTATCTCCTCATCAACCTTTGCCTAAGAGACACGTTAGACCTAAATTGTAAGAGACTCTAATGCACTTGGCTGTACTTTCTGAGAATGGAAAGGAGCTCCAGTCACTGTTTACTAAGTGACAAATCCACTAATATGTGGCTGACTGGGATTTAGTGCCAACCTCCAAGAAACACGCTCTCTCTCTGAAGAACCCCACAGAAAGAAAGGAAGTCAAATATGCAAATGCAAACACAAATACAAATTACAACAGAGAAATCAACATAAGGAATGTTGTTGGTGCAGATATTTTATGCCATAAAAATATAAAGAATTTGTTTAAAGACTTTTTTGTTAAATCTTTTTCATGAGTTTCAAACACCACCTTCACTAAACCCGACACAGTTCACTGTACAGAGTGATGGAGTATTGATTCCCTGGTGTTGATATATCCACACTCACAGGAGCATCCAGTTTCATAAAGTAAAAAAACTAATGACTAAATACAGGCTTTTGTGTTACAACAACCCCAGTAATGTAAACTTGAACTGGATCATTCATCTGAGCAGTGTCCACTAGACAAATGTGTCCCTTAATGCTAGCAACGAAACTAATCAGGTGACGTTTTGTAAAATTAAAGTAATGTTAGGACTACGAACATTTTTAAATATTTATCATGTGTTTTATTGGGGTAAAAAAAAAATCACACAAGTATCAATATATGTAATTGCCAAAAAGTCTTCAGTGTGGTATAAAGTGCATTTCTATTTCAAAGGGAGATCAGACCACAGTTCTCTGACCTTCTTTAAGTGAAATCTACTTTCCCAATAATTGGCCTATAATGTGTTTAATGCCTCTCCCCAGTGTATTAGTTGATTAAGCCTCCATTTTGACAGCACTACTTTTAATTGAGTGCTATTGGCTGCAGTGTCAGAACTTGTACTTGTTTGTGCTCACTGCGTGCAGAGTCATACATCATTAGAGTACTTCTATCTGTGTACTGTACGCTGGTGTTTAGATCAAGTACTCAAAACCTTTTTGAAATCTATCTTTTCCGACAGACACTTTTATAAAAATGCTCCACGACCTACAGCTGAATTATAAAAGCCCTGAACACAGATGAAGGGTGAATATAACAGTGCACTGTCGATTTCACAGCCTATTGGAATATCCTTATCATAAAGTCA